CGTCAAAATCATCCCCAACTTCATAATCAACATTCAATGTTAGATACAAAGAAAGCTCGTTTACATCTATATCCTCTCTACTTTTCCGAGAGGACTTGCTTAATCTTAAGGGTAATTCTAGCAACTCTTTGAGGGAGGTTGTTTTGGTGCCTGAGAGTATAGTCACAACGCCAGGGGATATTGTAGTTAACGACAAGGATAGTGAACTTGAAGACATTAAAGAAGGAAAAGGGAATATGCATAGTGTTTTGGTGGAAATAGAGGAGAAAGAAGATAAAGTCGAAAAGGTCTTAGAAACAATTTCTCAAGGGGGGCTACAGATGGAATCTTGGAAGACAGATGTTCAAATGGAGGATATTCAAGAAGTAACACCCCTTCAGGTATCCTTTCCTTCAAATTCGAGGGGGTTGGGAGAGGAATTAGAAACAACACCTATAAGAAGGCTTCTTACAGACCGTGAACTGCTAGACCGTATGGCAGATCCCAATTACTCTATTGCGGATCCCAAGTGGAGTTCATCTAGTTCTATACTGGTTCCTAGAAGGAGTACTCGCCTTAAGCAAAAAAAAAAGGAAAAAAAGTTTACTGAGAAGTAGGGTTGATTTCTAGATGTTTGTTGGGCTTCTTGGTTCTTCTTGGGGTTCTGTTTGCGAAAACGTGATATTTAGGGACACCTTATTGGTGGTCGGTGGATGTTCTGTTTGGGCTTCTCATTTCATCTGCAGGGTGGTGCTTTGGTGTTGGTTTCTTTGTTCACTAGAGCTTGTTTCTTTACTTTAGCTTTGGGCTTGTACCCATGTTCATTAGCGTTTTGTACTCTTCTTTTTTTTAATAAAGTTTTTCATTTAAAAAAAAAACAAAGAAAGCTCGTTAACTGAGCTTTGTTCAGTAGCGGGAGTTGCTCTACTTTTTTTCATAAGAGAACCAAATGCAAATTTTAAAAGTGATTTTCCTTTAGATGAAGAAGATGTTCGCGGCATGAGAGGGGGTGCATTACCATATTGTGCATGAAATTCATTATACATTTGATGAAATAAATTACTAATCTCGTTGTATTCTTGTTTAGGGTAGATGGGATTATCATCGAACTCTTGAGTTGGAAAAAAACAATTATAATAGTAATCTATACAAGTTGGCAACGCGGCAAGTCTATAACGAGGATCAAGAACAAATGCAATACCTTATATATGCGGAACATGTGAATAATATTTTAAAAATTTTTGTTTCATGAAATCACAAAAATAACTAACGTAAGCGGCATCGGAAAATTCTAAAAATGCGCCGGCGAGATTAACAGCTTCAACAAAAAATTCGTTTGCGGTAGGTTTATAAACATGAATAAAAGTTTGAGTTGCGTTATTAAAATATACCAAAACATTAACAATTTTTTCACAAGTGTCGATGTCAGCCGGGTTTATAATATAGTTACAAGTTTGCCTTAAAAAAGCAGGAAAATGATCTTTATATCTAATAAGTACTTGAATTAAGTTATAAGTACTATTCCAACGAATAGACAAATCTTTAGGAAAAGCACAATAATTGACACGTCTTTCCTTCAAATATTGCCGCCATTGCATTTTTAGTGGAGTGTTAGCTCAAATCAATTTAATTCCCCCCTTCACTACCTCCAAAGCATGTCCTAATGCCGCTAATCCATCTTGTACACACAAATTTAGAATATGACATGCACAACGTTGATGAAAAAACCTACCCATCAATGTAGAAGCACCACACAATTCACGCAATCTAGGTATAGCAGCAGTATTATTACTAACATTATCAAAACCTATAGCAAACACCTTATCAAGCAAATTATACTCAATTAAAATACGCTCAATGAGAATATAAATATTATCAGCAGTATGACGATCATTGAATTCACGAAAAGCAAGAACACGTTTATGCATATTTCAATCATCATCAATATAATGTGCAGTAAGACCCAAATAATATAAATGATGATAAGTATCCTCCCATATATCGCTACAAATACTAACACGTCCATTAAAGTTTGCGAAAAATGTTTGTAAATTTTCTTTTTCAAAGTTATATTGCCTTATAACTTCTTTTTTAATCGTTTTGCGACTATAATTTCTAAATTGAGGATTTAAAGTGCCTTGAGCATAATCTCTTAAAGCAAGACTTTCGGAAAAAATATAGGGTAAATTTTCTTCAACAATTAAATGAGACATACCAGTCAAATGTTTTTTATCATCATAGGAGAAATTACCAAAGGGTTGAGAATTTGCAAACCTCGATATTTGTGTTTGCTTGCCCTTGCCCTTGTCTATTTTCGCATACTCCACAAGATGGGCGGACTTAAGATGCCTTGTGAGACTCCCGTATCCGCCAGAAGTTCCCAAGCTATACTTTTTGCCGCAATGATTGCAACTTGCGTACCATTTTTCGGTATTTTTGTCTTTCCTTTTTGTAAAATTGTTTTCAATAATAGGAGATTTAGATTTCTTACCAGTTTGGGTTGAACCGCCCTCGTCCTCCAAGTCTTGCTCATCATCCGGGGTGCCGTGAGTCCCGTCGCCCCCCGCGTCCTCCTCCGCATCGTCATCCTCGAGCTCCTCTTCATCAATGGTTGTCGGGATGGGTTGTTCTTGTGCAAAGCGTGGATCGTTTTGGGACAATAAGTTTTGTAGATGCTCGTCGGACATCATCATATCATCTCTCCGTTGGTAATCCGTTTCAAAATCATCTCGACTTTGAAAACAAGACTCGACCCGCGCTTTACCTTTGCCTTTGCGTGAAGTAGGACGAGTCGACGCAATCTCCCTCTTGCGGTTGCGTTGGAGATTACCCACATCTACAGAATGTCTATCACGTTCCATCTTTAAAATTGAACAAATATTAAATGATATCAAATATTTTATGAGTACAATAGTAATAATAAAATGTGACTAAGAAAACTATTGCAAATTCGAACTAAAATATGAGTATAAAAATCGAACTACTTCTAATTAATACTTTAATGAGAAATGTATCAATTAACTAAATATTAACTACTTTGACTAATATAAATATGAGAAATGTAAAAATTAACTAGTTTTTTTTTTACTTTAATGAGCAATGTACAAATTAACTAATATTAATATGAGAAATGTAACAATTAGGTAGTTTAACTAATATTAATATGACAAATTTAACAATTAACTACTTTAGGTAGTTTTTAAAATGACAAATGTAAAAATTTACTAGTAATTTTTACCTTAATGAGAAATGTATACTTTAACTAATATTAATATGACAAATGTAAAAATGTACTACTTTTTTACTTTAATGAGAAATGTAGCAAGTAACTAATATTAATATGAAAAATGTACCAATTAAGTAGTTTAACTAATATTATTATGACAAATGTAAAACTTAACTAGTTTTTTTTACTTTAATGAGCAATGTATGAAATAACTAATTTTAATATGACAAATGAAACAATTAAGTATTTTAACTAATTGAAATATGACAAATGTAAAAATATACTACTTTAACTATTTTTTTCTTTAAAGAGAAATGTAGAGAAATGTAACAATTAACTAGTTTAATAGATAAATGAGAAGTCTAACAATTAACTACTATTATAAGTAATATATAATATAATGTTTATAGTATATAATATATAAGTATATTACTATAAGATGAGTAATACACTTATACTTAATACTTTAATATATATATATATATAAGTATATATTAACTAAATGTAATATGTAAATATAAGTAAATAACAATAGTATGTATAAAAACTAAATATCAAATAAATATTAATGTGTATAAGTATATAGTATATATAATGTGTAAATATATTATAAGTAATATATAATATAATGTTTATAGTATATAATATATAAGTATATTACTATAAGATGAGTAATACACTTATACTTAATACTTAAATATATATATATATATCTATATAGGGGTGAGATGACATACTAACCATTCCTCCCATGCTAACCTACAAACTATCAAAAACGGTGCATCTTTACATTATTTGTACTGCATATTGAAGTTCAAAGTGTTGCATATTATTTGTACTACATATTAAAGTTCAAAGTTTTGCATATTGTTTTTATTGCATATTGAAATTCACAGTGTGCATCTTTACATTATTTGTACTGCATATTGAAGTTCAATGTGTTGCATATTATTGAGTTAGTAAGTTAGTATTTTAAGCATGGTTAGTATGTGATCTCTTATCTATATATATATATATATATATATATATATATATATATATATATATATATAAGTATATATTAACTAAATGTAATATGTAAATATAAGTAAATAACAATAGTATGGATAATAACTAAATATCAAGTAAATATGAATGTGTATAGTATATATACTTATATAGTATATATAATGTGTAAAGAATTATAATATGAATGTGTATAAGTATATATTTATAAATAGATAATTAATATATAAGTAGATATAATAATTATATATATGTAGAAAGAATTTGGAGAAGATGAAGAATGAAGATGATTGAATATGAGAGATTTAGAGTAGAGAATTAGAGAGTAGGAAGAGTTGTAGAAGAAGAGGTGTAAAAAATGTAGAGAAAATAGGAGTTCAAATAGATTTTTTTTTATACCCCACCCCCACCCCCCACCCCACCCCCCTAACCCACCAGACCCCCCTCCTATGCTCCCAACGGCTATAGAGCCGTTTGGGAGACTTCCCAACGGCTAGGAGCCTCTTTAAATTAAAAAAAAAAATAAAAAATTTGGCCGTTGGAGGCCCGAACCGGGCCCGGACCGGCCGGACCGGTTCCCTAAAATGGAGGCCCGGGCCCGGACCGCTATACCACTGGGTCGGGTGGCCCGAACCGGTAGACCGGGCCGGTCCGGGCCCGCACAGTAGCGGGTCGGTCCGGTTCCGGGCCGGTTGGCCCGGCCCGAGTCCACCCCTAATCTATCATTTCACTCTTTACTTTTTGTGGATCCATTTTCAAGGATGTGAATAGAATTACTCATTTTTATATTGACACTTGATTTTGGGACACGGTTGATCCAGCTGATCAGGTCCGTTTTTTTTTAATATAGATATAAACCACTCACCGACTCGAGCGAAACAACACAACAGTTGCTTTTATTATAACAAGCATAATGAGGTTCCAAAACCTCCCATCTTTTATAGGATGGGGGAAACATGCCAACACTTTTTATTCTGAACTGAAGTACACCCACTGCAATGTCTGATTATAAGATGGAAGCAAATGCAATAGGGAATTTAAGAGAGACACGAGTAAGCCAAAGCTTTTTCCTCAGCAAGCTCTGCAGCACTCAAGTCCATCTTCTTTCTTGAGAACTCATCGATGGGAAGACCTTGCATTACAAAAGAGATGGCAAAACTCTTGTTCAGCAAGGCAATGTTGTGCCAAAGACAAAGAAAATAACACAACAGAGACAAAGCGAGATAAGCTTATTAAGAGGTCTCATGTTGCCCCTCTCATGCTGAGACTGATTGTCTTTAGCAACATTTGTTAAAACAAAGTATAATTTCTTTCTTTTCATGTAGTTCGCCATAAAAAATAACAGTCAGACATGATAAACTTGGTTAAATAAGGAAAATAATCTTGTAAATATATAAGTAGGACTTTATCAAATTCTTATGTGTATATTGCCGTAACTAAACAGTTATATACCTTCACAAAATAAAACTCTTTTGGGGATGGAGGAAGTACTTTTTAGTGTATAGCCCAAAAAAGTAATACTCATTTTGCTAAAGAAAAGTCTCCCTGCTCGTGATTAAAAAAAATAAAATAAAATGGCTAATTGTTCATGGAGTCATGGCCTTCCCAAATTTTGCTAAGAACGGTATCAGTTGCCTCTTGATAAAAATAGTTGATTTCTCAGAATCATAGTTGTCATGGCGCACAGGCATTATTCCATGGCGATGGCGCAAATATGGCGTCGCCACGTGACAAAAAAAAACAAAAAAAAAACTAAAGAATGAATTATAGACACTATAATTTCATCACCCAACCAACAAAATATGATAAAACAAGTTCTATAACAGCATTCTAACCAAAACATGTGAGGTTCAAATAGTTTAAAGTAGTTCCAAAAAAACATAATATTCAAAAAAAGTTCCATGTTTTTCAAAATATATTAGCTTGTTTTGTTTGTTGATTATTCCATAATCATCACCAATTGTCACACTCCTCGGTCCTTGCCATCTTGGTCTGATAGCAATGGAACACCATCTTCATTCATCTAATTTATATACTCGTATATATAACTATATAGTTATATATAGCTATATTTATATATATAATTATAAATTGTATATAACTTAGAATTGAAACTCACAATTAATAAAAAAAAGTTGGAAAATAAACTCAAAATTAATAAGTGAAAACAAGGTTTATTAATGAGAAATAAAATTAAAAAACAAATCAAAACAAATAGTGAAATATATCATAGAAAGTTATTTTAAAATAGAAGTATCACAGTTAAAACAACAAAAAACAGGGTTAAAATGACAAAATTATAAACACACATCTTAATTAATTAAAATTTAAAATAATAAAAAAATGAAGCCAAAGATCGGGGACCTGGGAACTGGGAAGTCTGCTAGTTCCTTTGCTGCTCTGCTTCCGCGAGGGACTGAGGGAGGGTGACTCTGTGCATTCATCGTAGTCGTTTGCTTCCTGCGTGCGACTTGGCTATAAGCCTTTGGGCAACGAATGGTCCAACTGAGGTTCGACTTAGCTTTTAATTTAAAGCCTGAAGCCTTAAATTAGCCTTAATTAAGGCCTAAATCTATTTTATGTGGTTCTGGGCCTGCCACTGAGGTTCGACTTGTGAACAAGGCCAGGATTTCTTCGCCAACATAGCGCCTAGACGACTACTGGACAACGCATAACGCCATGGCGATGGCGCTCAAATGGCGAAGGCTCTCAAATGGTCCTCACCACAGCCTATTTTCATGGCGCAGAGGGCCTAAGAGCGCCACATGGCGCATGGCACCCGCGCCATATTGTGCCATCAACAACCATGCTCAGAATCTATGATACATATCCCTAAACTATCTGTCAAGAGAACAATTATAAACCTCAAAACTTTTTAGAATAATTATACAAAACAATTAGAAATTTGGAACAAATATACCCTTAAACTATGAAATATTTTCAAATTGATGACCAAAATAAAAGTAGTGGACAAAAATGTGACCTAGTAACTTTTAGTGACTATAATTCTATTCAAATTTTACATCATAGTGACTACAATACTTACCCATAGGCCATAGTAACTTAAAGTCACATTTTTATCCATAGATTTTTATTAGTACAGTAATATTTTAGGTAAAACTTCCTCAAACTATATACGAAGTATTAGAGAACTTGTGTTCCCTGTATGTTCAAGTGTTCAACTGTTGAGGGTACAAGTCTTCAAACTTCACAATTATGTCTTAAATTCTATAAAAAATTCAAGGTGTATAACATTCACTTCAAACATATAGTTCCAGAGAATATTTATTCTTTATCCCTACCTTTTCAATAAAGAGTAAATTCAAGTTTATATTAGGACGAAACACATATAACGGCCATAAAATAACATCAGTAACATGTAATAATTAAGATATATATACTCACCTTTGACAATGCACCATTTTCCATTCTTGCAAGTAACTGGGAAGGAATAGATTAGTCCAGATGGGACATCATAAGAGCCATCTGAGTATACACCCATTGACACCCAAGTTCCCTGGATAACGGAAAATGGCAGAAAAGTTGGTAATAGAATCAGTCAAGCAACAAGATTTCAAGTCAAATGTACATAGAGCCCATTTCAGAGGCTTGCCCCCTTATACACCCTTGAGATGGAACTCTACCCCAGACTCTCACCTTGTGGGGATGCCAATGCGCACCAAGCTGCTCTTTTTTAACAGCTTTATGGGTCAGTTTTTCACCATAATGATTTAGCAATTGTTATTGCATGGTTTGAAAATGAATATAAGGTTGTGTATGAGTTACTTTTGGCTGAAATGATAAGTTTAGCTTTATTATGGGAGATTCTTTACATATTTATGCAAAAAAATATTTTTTAAAAACATTTTTAAATCATTCAGGCATTCAGCAAACTCGAGCAATTCAGACATTCTTCAGCAATTTTAGCAAATTCAACCAATTAATCATTTTGCATCTTACTAAATGGACTCAAAATTTTAGTAAAAGATCATATAATACCTCTGGAGTTCCAAGCACCCAATCACGTATGTGGTCACAAGCTGCACTAGCAGCAGAGAGAGCACTGGAAAGTTTTCTAGCCTTGATGATGGCAGCACCACGCTGCTGAACAGTAGTTATGAACTCACCATTTAACCTGAATGAGTTCTACCACGCATTAGCAGAAACATTGTAAATTTATAACAGCAGAAGCTCTTATGAAAAAACAAGCAAATTATACATATAACTACTATTTTAGTTCTTTACCATTCATCATTTCCAACAAGCTTACGGACAGGGTTTTCTCCATTTAGCGTTTTGACAACAGCATGATTAACATCAGGATACTGTGTAGATGAGTGGTTTCCCCAAATGACTACATTTTTTACCTCACTTACATGAACGCCCAATCTCTCTGAGATTTGTCCAAGGGCTCTGTTATGGTCCAATCTTGTCAGACAAGTAATGTTTTCCTTAGGTATAGATGGTGCAAACTCCTTCAGAATCAATGCGTTTGTGTTTGCAGGATTAGCAACAACCAACACCTGAAGGAAGAAATAAGAAAAATAAATAAATATCTACTGTGTTCCCAAACACAATGGGGAACAAATTTTCTGGACACAGTAGTTACAGAAACAATAGAGCAAAATAATTGATGTTCCAAAAGAATCTAAAAATTGAAGTATTCATTTAGATAATTGTTTCACATATACGCAGTGCTTATTTAATTATATAATTTCACCTATCCATATTGCATCCTAAGTATTCGTTTAGACAATTGTTGCATATCTGTGCAATGCTAATTAAAAAAACACCATATAGAGGGAGGAAGTGTACATACACAGATATCACACACAATTATAATCTAAAAGATAATACGGAGTATTCACTATCCTGTGGTGTAAAAAAAATCGTACAAAGAACCATAGAAATTACTGTTTTGAGCTTTTCCAATCACTATACAATTCGAATATTTGTTGTGAAATGTCAATTCTGATATAGAGCTATAATCATATCATATGCAAACACAACCATGAGCTCGCTCACTAAATGAAAAGCAAAAGAAAGAAAAACGTTTATAATGTTTTGAGAATTATGTCTCACTTTGCAGTCAGCAGCAGCATGCTTTTCAAGAGCAGAAGCCTGGGACTTGTAAATAGAAACATTCTTTGACATCACATCTTTTCTCTCCATTCCTTCTTTCCTTGGGAAACCTCCAACCATGACAGCAACATTGACACCAGTACATGCCTCAACAACATTGGTAGTAGCAACAACACCTGCCATGTGGGATAATCCCATAACATGTATCCAGTAAGAACAAAACATAGAAGAATATTCTAGTTAAATCACAATTACATGAATACAAAAGGTAGCCCAGTGCACATTGATGTCCTGCAAGTGAAGGTCGAGGGAAGGGACTCATAACAATAATAAACACGATGGTATTACTTAAAAAATACTACATTATATAACAAGAAAGTGACTGTAAAAAAACTAATACAACAATATCGCTTTATGATATCGAAAGAACAGCCTCTGTTTATGGTTAAAAAGAGATACATAGTAATTAATGATTACTCATTGGTATTTGTTAACAAAAGAACTGAAGGCAAAAACCTTTAAGAAGAGGGAAAGCAGCATCCACTAATTCCATTTTCACTCCATTCAATGCCTCTGCAGCAGGTTCAATATCAAGCATGTGGAGAATTACAGGCTGGTCAGGACCCAACATTACACCCCTAGCAACCATGGGGACCAGAGCATACCCAATTTGTCCTGAAAAAACAGACGACCTTTATTTTTAAGACAAAGGAAAAATCTTCTGGAATCAATGGATGGATAAAACATTATATTGTAAGCAAATTCAACAATGCGTATAGCATGAAACTATTGCGAAGTATGAGCAGACACATACAGAGAGAGAATATATGTGTGTGCATTCAAACTACAATGAACTTGTTTTTAGCATGGCTTCATACGGTTCAAAAATTAATAGCTGCAGTAGCACCTTATCTGATCTTTAAACACTAGCATTTATTAAAAGAATCAAAGCACAGACTTGAATATCACAAATGCACCAAATAAAGCTACTACTTATGATTTGTGAAAGAAATCCACAACCACAAATTCAGAAGCAGATTGGGAAAAGACCGGAAATGCAATCTCTGCATTACAGTTCGAAAAGGAATCAGACATTCAGATCCATGCTTTGAAGTCTACCAACACTGTTATAGCAGAAACACGACAAAACAAAGAAAGAAACAGATTTACGTGATTCACCAATGTTGTGTTGCTTACATCCACATTGTGGGGGAGATCCGATTTTATTAGGAAGCATATTGTTTGTATTACAGATTACATCGAGAGCTTGCCAGGTATATATAGCGCTATAGATATACCCTAAACAAGACTTGGGCCAAGTCACAGCCATAGACCGAATGAGAATCACCCTGCACCGTCGATCCGGGGCGAAGACCAGGCCAGGGGGACTTTGCCTCCCAGGACCTTGACTTGCTGACAGAGCAGTGAGACCCATACTAAAGCCAAGTCATGTGATCATATTCAATTCAAGGCATATTAACAAACACCACAACACAATTCAAATCAGAAGTCAGATATTAAAGCTATGTTTGCATCCTAGCAACATTTTCCCAAGGAAAGTAATAGGCCAGAATCGCCAGATAGAGCCAGGTTCGCAAAATGTATCACTCCAAGTGAATAATCACAAGAAAACATTAGCACTAACAGTCTCATCCATCAGTACTCAGTAGCATTTGCTACCATGATGCAAGAAACAATAAAGATCTTATTTTACTCCACGAGATTCAAAGCACAAAATAAAAACTGGAACTTGTATTTCTTTCACACAACTTGAAAACGAACACGGATGATATCGATTATTTTCTATATTAGAAACAGTACAAATATCAATCCCCTTTGAGAAAAGAATGAATTCTTTACCTGCAGCACCAGTTACTAAGACGCGGATCGGTTCCTTGGCCATTTTCGCTAGAGATCTGATCTTAAATTTTGAAAGAGAGACTGATGCAGACTGAAGTCGATAACAGAGAGAAAAGCAGGAGACTTTAGCGGTGTGCGGTTGGAAGCCGAACGGAGTAAACAATTACGATTTGTTCGGATGAGGTGATACGGTGATAGGGAAGTACTTACTTATAGGATAGGCAAAATGGTTTGGTCCACCCGAAATTAATGTAACCAAACCAAATCAACAATTTTATTTGACCAGCTATATTTTTTATTGGAAACTATTAATAATATACGGAGTAATAATTATTTGAATATGATCTTTGTTGTAATTTCACAAAATTATAATATCATGAAAGGCATTGCCTTCGGGAAAACCATAAAAAGCGGCCTTCCTTCTAGTAGGGTTTCAGTTTTCTGCCGTCTCTCGTGCGGCTTGGAAGATGGAGAGCGAAGGGATCAAGATCGGAGGCAGAGAGAACTTTGCCGTCTCTCGTGCGGCTCGGATGAGGGAGAGCGAAGGGATCAAGATCGGAGGCAGAGAGGAGGTTCTGCGAACGGCTCCGATGGGACTGGTGACGGCGTCATCGTACGACGTCTTTCTTCAAAAAGGATAGATCTCGAGCGATAAAAATAGATCAAGTAGAGAGATCTGAAGGGTTCGACCTCCTCCTGAACCGCCGTCAGGGGTTGTACAAGAGAAGATGATGACTAGTAGTTGTGATTTGGGTTCGAGTGTGGGACGAGGAGAGTTGCACGGGTTTCGAATAGGCCATATTTCGATCTACAATGGAGGATCAATTAGAGAGGTACCAGTAGTACAGTCTCCTCCTGAACCACCACCATAGGTTGTACGAGAGGCTAGAGTTCGTGAAAGTTTTCCAATAAGTTTTCATTATTTTGTCATTTGTTTTCTTGTTGTCATCTATGTTGTTACGTTTGTCAGTTTGTTTGGGAATTTAGTTTGGTTTTCTGTCATTGAGTATGTTTGGATCAATGAGAATATGGATGGGTGTGTTAATCCCGTTACATGGTTAGCTATTCGTGTTGCTAAGGTGACCGTTTCTAAATCTGATCATAGGGTTTGCAGTCGTTGTTGTTGGAGTCTAGTTGGTGTTAGATTTGTTTTTCATTTGATTAATGTAATGATCGTGAAACTTATGATATGAATAAAGGCTAGTTTTGGAT